GTAACCACACAGGTCGGAGAAACTTCCTGCAATGCACCAGAACTCATCAGACACAAACTCAGATGGACACAAAGTGACTATTGGTGAGGGTGGAGTTTCAGATCAAACACTGCTACCAGCCAAACCGTTCCCCAAAATAAGGTGTATACCTTCAATAGGCAATGCCGATAGCACACCCACGTCAACCTCACCATGAACCAGCTCACAGTCAAGAACCATCCTGTGCAAAGGTGCTGGAAACAGACTCAACCCCATTCCACGACTGAGAACAAAGTCACCAGTATCTGTATCCCCTGAAAAAGGTAACACAGACTTAACAATGTAGGAGCTTTAGGCCCCCGTATCCCTCAGGATCTTTAGTGGGATTTAAACACCACCCACGAGTGACACAGACCCATCCCGAATGAAAGAAGCATAAGCTGCCAAAACATCTACTTCACAAATGGGAGCTGAACTTACCTCAGAAACATAGTCAGCTTTAACAGCTGCAGCAAATGCCACAGGTCTAACATTAGCTTTCGTTCTCTTTGACTTAGCCTTTAACACAGCAAAATCCACCTCCTTACGACCCTTTTCACGACAATAGTTACAATCATCATTATCATCAAATGTACAACTTGTTTTACTGTCAGGTTTCATATGACCGATTTTCCTTGAACGCACCATATCAGACGGCACATCATAACCACTACGTTGTGCACCGAAATCAGGAGTTACATAACGCTCCCTGAAACTTCTTATTGAGTAACACATACTCATCGGCTGCAACAGCCGCATCCACAGCCGTAGCAACGTTCTGTTCCAAGATGTATGTGGAAACACGTTCTGGCAGAGTATTTTTTAACTGCTCCAGTACCACCAAGTTGCACTGATCCTCAAAGGTGGTAACTTCAAGTGCAGTTAACCACCTTCTAAAGTGAGTTGAAAGGTCTCTAGCAAACTCGGCATATTTCTGGCCATTCTTCTTTTCCCAAGACCTGAAACGCAGGTGATATGCTTCTGGTACAAGCTCGTAAGCTCTAAGAACAGCTGATTTTATTTTGCCATAGCTAAAGCTATCTTCAGGACTCAAAGATGCATATGCCTCTTGGGCTTTCCCAGAAAGCTCACACTGAAGCATCAGAGCGGAGTCCCCTTCAGGCCAGTTCCTGGCCTTAGCGACACATTCAAACAACAGAAAAAATGTGTCTGGGTCTTTTATAATTAAATGGTGGCAACAAGCGCAAGTTACTTACATCAAAACGGTCAGATGATCTGGACTGCTGCCCGCCATGAGCCTCACTTGACAATAAGCCATCTCTTATCATTGACAACCAATCACCCTCTAAATCTATTTTTGCCTTTTCAGTGCTCTGGTGAATTCTCTCCACTTCCAGCTGCTTTTTAACGTCCAATTCATGTTTCATTTTCTCATGCTCCAACTGCAACATCAACATCTCTTTCAGCTGCTCAAAAGTTAAACCATGTGTCTCAGGACTCTGAGAAAAATCTGCTTTAAACATAATGCCAGCTCCTAGTAACTTAGATTTAATAGCTGAGTTGATGGTTTCTTTGACACGTTTGTCTCCGACCACCTCCACTGAATAGTGCTGAGCAATCTGAAGCAGCTGCTCTTTTGTGCATTTATCCAGGGATTCCTGAGACGGAGCGGCAATAAATGCTTCAACTTTAGACATGTTAAATTGCCTATGCAACATGAAAAAAACTAAATGTAGTCCAGATAGACACCCGACGCTCGCCTGTGTGTCCAAAGAGGACTAATCCCCAACGTGGTTCGGAGTTTCCCCGCTATCTAAAACCAGTACGACTAACTAAGCTCCCCCCTAGTCTTCATGTGGCTAGTTGTGGTGGGCACTAGAGACCGCTGGATCAGGAAGCTGTCTAACAATACACAGTTAAACACCCAACTAGGCAGGGCCGTCACAATCGCGATTAAAAATTTTAATTGTTACCCAGCACAGTTTTTTTGTTTTTTTTATAACAAACCATGCCAAATGGCTTTAGTCCTTTGAATTTATATGTAACAGGGCTAGATTTACATATTTAGTGCATGTGTTTCTGACTACTAGATTTAGCCTACTTTTTCACAATAATCTTTAGGGCCTGGATAAAGCTAAACAATATATGAAGTGGTGGTTGAGTCTTCCTTTGTATGTGGCTGTTGGAATTTACTTACTATTTATTTTTATTTTATAGCATATTAATTAAGGACTTGATAAACGCATATCTTCTTACAGTTGGAACAAAGAGCGGCGTCTTTTTTTTTGCCTTTCCAAAAGAAAGCATAGATATGAGAGTAAAAGTGTGCGGAGTGGATAAAACAGTGTGTTTGTGAGACATAAGCTGGCAGTATAATGTAGAACATGCCCCTTATAGAAGTGTTACTTCTATAAGGGGCATGTTATTACATAACTGTATTATTTTATGGTGTTACAGGTTACTTTATAGAAAAGGCCTGTTCAGGACCAAACTTGTGTTAGATAATGTTACATTTGTCAGTCTCCTCTTCCCTAAATTCTTTTCTCTTGTAAAAGTGGAGCGTAAGATTCTATTTAAAAAATAGGTTCATCCTGTTTTTTCTGTCTTGTAGCCTATTCATTTACTTAAAAAGAAATCGTCTCAGATGGGAGCCAGCTCCTATTGTTCACACCATCACTAGATGTAATGGAACACCTCAAACACAAACCTAGACATACTACTCAAGGCTCGGCCAAGTTTTACAAGATAGTTATAATAAAAAGTATGTTATAATATAGAGATATATAATTCTTTACTCTTTTATTTCTAGTTTGAGGACATTGATTTCCCTACTGTGCGATTGTTTCAAAAGATCTTGCCTTACCAGTTAAAATATAATCAAGGTAAGCTTTTTCTTTAGCTTGGGGCCTTGATACATTTAGGGTGAAAAATAGAATGACACGTCCACTGAACATCTTTGAATGTCCCTGGAGCTTTTCATACAGCTACAATCAGCAAAAGACCGTCCTGTATAAACTGAATCTGTCAGCTCACGATGAACATAAATACAACTTGTCGAGTATGCTGATTAGTCTTCCTCTAAACGCCAATAAAGAAGCAAAGCAAGAATTAAGCCCTTTAATTCTGTCCTTAATGAAGTTGCAATGCTTACAGCTTTTACTTTACTGAGAATGTAATTTTAAAAGAATTACTTCATTTGTAGCAACAGCCTTTCCATGTCCGAGTCTTACATTTAGCATTTCTTTATTCAATTTAACTTTAATTTGCTGTTGTGGAAAACAAATCCCCTATAATACAATATACAAAGTTAACCACTGTCCTTCAGTGGCTTTTACTGATCTAGCAACAAAATCAGCAATTTCCTTCATTATTCAGTAATATGCCCTCATCATTTAACTAGTAATGTTTAACAGTGTGAGAATGATGTTTTTGTCTGAGAGGCAGTGTGTCTCAGAGATAAAAAAAAAGTGCCAGGAGGTATTATTAAGCTGTGAATAACTGACGTGGATCAACAGTAAGTCTATTCATTAAGACCTCTATCTAAGACCTCTAAAAAAACAAACATTTCAATCCTCCAGGCTTCCTTCCCTTCATCTCTTTCACCTCTATCTGTTGCCCTTCCCCTCTCTGCTCCCCTGCCTGCTTCTGTCTCTCCCCCATCATCCCTCATTATTGTCCTGATAGAGAGTAAACAAGGCCATCTTTTCCTTCCATCAGCCTCTCCATCCCTCCTTTCTTTCCGGTTGAATAAACATATGGATAGCTCTGCCTCCCTAAACCTGCTCACCTCTGCTTTCTTGGCCTCCCGCCTCTTGTCTCGCTCCGTCTCTCAGTCTCATCTCTGGCTTTGTCATTAGTATGCAGAAGAAACAATAATATTCCTTCATGTGCCTCCCACTTTCTCTTGCTCCATCACTGTGTTTGCTCTCCATTTCTCTTCTGCTTTGTGCTTATCTCTCCACTGCAAAATAAGTCCTTAATATCTGATCTAATAATTAATCCAAAATGTTTTTGATGGGTGCATGGAATTAATAAACCTAACTTTAAAGGTCCAGTGTGTAATATTTTGGAGGATCTATTGACATAAATGCAATATAATATACATAACTATGTTTCCAGTGGTGTATAAAGACCCTACATAATGAACCGCTATGTTTTTATTACCTTAGAATGAGCCATTTCTATCTACATACACCGCAGATCGTCTTACATGGACGTCACTCTCAAGATTAAAGTCACAAGTTTAAGAGAAAAAAACTAAATATTCTCTGAGATTCTAAAGTCATAAAATTGTGATGAAAACTTGAAAATACTATTTTTCAGATGTGATTGCAGTTTAAGGTTGGTGATGGCGCAATGGATAAGATGCCTGCCTTTGATGTGAGAGGCCAAGGTTCAGTCTCCCACTGTGACCCATCCACCAATATGTTCCTGAGCAAGACACTTAACCCCTTGTTGCTCCACCTCTGACATTTATAGCAATTGTAAGTTGCTTTAGATAAAAGCATTAGCTAAATGAATAAATGTTATTAAACGGCTCTGTATTCAACAACAGGCTAAGCAGATTTTAATAACAACAAGCTATTTTCACCAAACAGTTTTAAGAGATAGTTCCTTCTGTTTAAAGACCAAGCGTAAAACAAACTGAGAGAAAAAGAACTGCAGACACTTATGTATAAATGACGTGATGTATAAATGACATAAGATGTGACATGTGCTTTTATATGGCTTTGTTGCAGTCCCTCATATCTGCCTACACCCTAAAAGCTCCACCTCTTCTCTTGTGTCTGCACTGACTTATTAACTCACATTAGGCTATCCTTTTCCCGATTTTTTTCGGGACATCAATATCTGAATTGTTTTACTTGGAATATTAACCCCCTCCTCTGGCTCTGTTCTTTTTTTCAATCTACAATGGGTTTTTCTCTTTCCTTCTTTCTCCTTCTAGGACCCTGTGGCACCTGCTGATCCCTTGAAGCCTTGACGTCAGCGCTGTAAGGTGGAGATCTCCGGTGCGCGGCGGCAGCGGTGCACAGGCGCAGCGTCCGTGCAGCGCGCAACGCAGGCGGCTGCGGCGGCACCAGCAGCAGCAACAATAACAACACTCAGCTCACAGTTCCCTGTCTTCTCACATACACACCACGTCTGGGAGGGATACTTATCGACTTCCTCCCCGGCTTTTGAACCGGTCCGCCTCTCCAGCCCCGCCATGTCGTCTGCTGTCACCGAGACGGAGGAGTCGGCGCGCAGCTCCCCGCTGACGCCGCTGAAGCTGGTCGGGCTGGTGTGCGTCTTCCTGGCGCTCTGTCTGGATGTGGGCGCCGTGATGAGCCCGGCGTGGGTGACTGCCGACGACCAGTACTACCTGTCCCTGTGGGAGTCCTGCTGGAAGCCGGCGAGCACCGAGAACTGGCAGTGCAACAGCACGCTAGGATCAGGTAATGAAATGGGGGTAAAGTCACAGTGCATGGGCTCATACAACCACTTAATCTGTCCTGCCCCATGCGCACCAGCAAGGGAAGAGGTTAGTTACCATGCGTCTTCTAATATGCATTAACGGGAGCTCTTTAAGAGTTGTTGTGAATGACAGCAAGGAATGATGCTGAAGATGACCAAGATGATGGAGGGATGCTTCCTCGCCTCTAAAAGGGCAAAAGACAATAATCTGTTAACTCCACAAGCTGTAAGAAGGTATTGTCCCGACTAGTATTGTGACTCCACACTGTCCATATATCCAACCATAACTAAGCCTCACCCTGACAGCCCCTGTCAACCTGTGACTCCCCTGGGATCCCCACATTAATTACTGTGGAGGTGAAATGAAGGAATTTTGCCAGGCTGGCATGCGTTAATAGAATTGCATTCAAAATGATTTCAGTTTTTTAAATTTCTGCTTTGAAGTCTATTATGGAAAAATGGATTATGAATAAGACATTATAAACTGACACTGATGTAGTTCATTACACCTACACCACAGGCTTTTATTGCCAATGACATGCCTTGAAATTCTTTCTTCCGCTTTTAAAAAGCTGCAGACGTGACATTTTGAGAACACACAAACGTGTGGTTAATACTAACCCGATGTTAATGGGCACACAATTGGCTGACTGCCACAGGTCTTTCACGGGAGGTATTTCAGGAGAAACCCACTATTTATGAATGCATCAGAGCTGAAAGTATTAGTTGATAATTCAGACAGAAATTCATTGCCAACACTTTTGATAAGCGATTAATGGTTGAAGTCATTTTAACAATTCAGTGGTTCCTGCTTCAAAAATCGGATTTTAATTTTTGTCTTCTGTGAATATCTGTCATGGAGGGAGAACAGAAACAAGGGAAGGAACCAAATGCAGACAGTCGAGGCAGCAGGATAATTCAGTGATATATTGATAAAGGCTTACAGGCAGGTACGGGGAGACAGATAAGCAGGTTCAGGGTCGGGGTAACGATCAAGTGCAGAAACTGCCTTGAGGTATATGGCAACTTAGACGAACTGGCAGGGAGTGGAAGTGGAAAAGGGCTGGTTAAACATCTGCATGACTAATGACTATGCAGGACAAGAGGGAGTGGCTGGAGTCAGAGCCAGTGAGATGGCTGAGACAGGTGAACAAGTCAGAGGGCATCTGGTGGACAAGTAGAGAATGGTTTGGTTTGGGGAAGTTGGCTTGTGGCTGGAGAGAGACAGAGAATGTGAAAATACCTTTGAGTTTTGGACTGTTAAACAAGTCATTTTAATATCCATTTGGACTTGGACATTAATCGAGAAAGTAATTGGTAGACTACATTTAATATGAAAAGAAGTTGCAGGCCTGAAATGCAAGTTTGACTTATGTTTAAAAGGAATGTTGAAGAAGCATCTCTCTCTGTGCACGTTATACTGTAATATCATTATCTGCCATTTGTCAGACACTAAAAAATATTCATACACCTGAAAATACTGCTGGCCATTTTGGGGGAATAAAACTAGAATAAATGCTGCTCAGGAGCTATAAAATGCACTTTCAGCCTGTTTTTGCTACCTCATAATGATCACTATCTAGATTATTAACGCTGCAAAACTGCCACCACCTTCACAGTAAAGTACATCAACATCTCCTGGGTGTTGCCACTTACCTGCACCTAATTAATTCATTTGTCAACATACAAGGAATGGAGGAGGGAAAGAAAAGTGCTGGCTCGATATAGAGCTCATCCTGTCTCTCGCTCTTATTGTTTTTATGACCCTCCCAGTTCTTTTGTTGTCTAGAAAAATGCCTCGTTGTCGCGCCCAGGAGAGAGGTCTTGCAGTTTTGGGCCGGAGAGTAGAAGGAGGGGTTGATGTTGGATTGGTTTCCAGGGAAACGAGTTCACGAGCGTTACTTTAAGTGAGGTGAAAGTGGCATTATTTACTACCACTGTGACACTGGGAGCTGACTGGTGCTAATTACACACAGGGGCATTAAAAACAAATCATTTAAAAGGTGTTTAAAGTGTCAGACACTATGACAGACTCTATCTATCTATCTATCTATCTATCTATCTATCTATCTATCTATCTGTGACCAATCCATGTCTCTGCTGCTCTCTCTCTGGGTGGGATGGGATCGTGATTGTGTGTGATAGTGTCTGCGTGTCGTGTGTGTTATTTGTAGCAAATGCACAGTGTGTATCTGTGTGTAGTTGTGTGACAGAAGGGGAGTCAGAGGGGTGTATGTCAGCGTGTAAATGTGTGTGTGTGTGTGTGTGTGTGCGTGTTCCAATAAGAGGCTACCGTGTTGAGCTGACCTATTTCTGGACAGTCTCCTCTGAAGCCCGGCTGAATATTTCATGTCACACTCTGATTTCTCTGTTGTTGCATCTCCGCACCTCTTCTCCGAGGACCTGCGCACACACACACACACACACACACATACTCTGTGACCACACCATCAACTTTCAGCAGTTCCTCTCTTTCTTTCTTTATTTCTCACACATATTATACTCACACACCCAGACTCCAGACCCAGGACTCCCTAATTACACGTCTCGGCATGACAGGTTTGTGTCGGCTCATAAGTGTGAGCCTTACCAGCACACACACATTGATCTTAAAATATAAATTACTCCCTTGGCTTGCTCCAACGACGGAGACAGAGCAAAGCGGCAGTTTCTGTTAATCCTTTGCATTCATTGTGATGATTTTGTTTTCTGTAATAATGGGAAACAGAATTGATCGCCACAGGAACATTTCCTGCTGAAGTTGGTAGTTGTTAATTGGGTTGCTCATGGGAACTTTAGCATAGGGATGAACGTGGTGGGCCACCATACCGTTTAAAAAGACAAATAGAGAAACACAGATGAACAATACAATATAACATATACTGTAAAGGCATTACAGTTTTCCTCAATTGCTTAAACATCATAACCAGGCTTTTGAACTAAAACTATAACTCCATTTTTCAAAAAGCCCACCCATTTCCCTTACCTCTACACACAAATCCCTTCATTTCTCATTGCCTACACCATGTGGTCATTGAGAAAGCAGTAACATTCAGTATTGTTCACTCAAGTCAGCACAGGTTGAGCCCACAAGGAGTCACACCAATCAGAACCTTCAGCAGATAAAAGGAGCCAGAGTCAGTTCATTCAGTTTTGGAACAATGGATCCAGAAAGATATGAAGGAAGAGGTAGAGGACACCTGAGAGGAACAGGAAGTGGCGGAGAAGGAAGAGCAGTATGGAGAGGAGGAAGAGGTGAAGGAAGAGGAACAGTAGTTAGAGGAGGAGAAGGGATAGGAGGAAGATGAGGAGGTAGAGCAGGAGTAGGGTGGAGGAGGAGGAAAGAGGAGTAGGAAGGAGGAGGAGGTAGAGGGAGGAGGAGGAAGGAGGAAGAGGTAGAGGAGGAGGAGGAGATGGAGGAGAACCACAAACAACATAACCAGTTTTTGTAGTATTGTTTTGAATGTATCTCACCAGTGTGTAAGACTGTGCTGTAGTGTGTGGTTTTGAGGACTTGTGACTCATGACTGAGGGCAAAGATTGGTTTTCAGCAAGACTGATTGGTTTTGAGTGGAGAGCTTCATGTACTGAAAATAGGACATTTGGGGAATTGGGTGAGAAGTTGTGGACTTGTGATTAGAGTTTTGAGAAAAAGAGGTATAATTTCAAGAAATGTGTTTAAGCAATTGAGAAAAACTCTGATATGTATACACTGAAATGTACAGATTCCTTTTTTGTGTATTTATGTGTAAAGGCCTGATCACACCATCATTTAAAATGGCAAAGTTATACAGCCAGTACTTTTAATCACAAGTCCATTCATCCCAATGGAATCACAGTGATTACTGGATTCGCTCGTATGGCGAAAGTAAGTCTGCTGAAAATTTCGACGTCAAGTTAAACTTCACAGCTACATTAGGTTGCCAGCTATAGTATGTCCCCCTCCTGATGGGACATGGGCCAGACCTAAAAGTACCCGGCGAATACATTTTTCCCAAAGATGTCAAAGATGTTTCTGTCATTTTAGGTAGTTCTTATCGCACTGATGTTTGTTCAGACATTCATTTTTCTGATAAGTTATTTGATGCTATGGGAGTTTAATTCATTAATGACTTGCGATTGAGTCGGCCTGGTGTATGGGCTGGACCTCAATACTGCAGCTCCAACCCCGATAACTACTGTGCAGACACTGGCTCCAGCTCAAGATAGACGTGCCTGTATCTGGGATAAACATTTTTTTAACTACTTTGACACCACAAATTTATTAAAACTATGAACTTGAGAGCTTAATTCAGTGAATGAATGGATTTCAACAGGTGTAATCTGATTCCAGGCCTAAAAAAACAACCAGGGAATGCATCTAAAAGTTAAATTGACAAGGGAACATCCCACCAGCTCAGTCTATGTCTACTGCCCTCACCAAAGCAACAAGCAAAACACTGTAATGTATGCAGAGACAGATCATGTAATACCTCAGTCAGAGTAAGAAATCTTTAGTTCACAACATGCACAGCATTGCTGCTAATTAATTGGAATGAGATGGAAAAACAAAGGCGTGAAAGAAGGGTCTCACTTTGCAGAATAAAACAGAGCTATTGTGCAAAGACCAGCTGTAGTAATTTTCATATGTATTCCCTTGTTAACTGACACAGGTACAATTTTATAGTTTATATTATGAGTATCTGAAGCCATTTTCAGACTTGTACCAATATTAGGGATGGCAGCTTAACATGTTGATTTCATATATGAATAAGTCCCTGAGTCACTATGTAAAACTCATAACAGCAATCTTACTAAGCCAGACATAATAACATGGGGCATTTTCTGCCTTTTATTAGACATTTGGCAGTAAAGAGATCCAAGGGAGGAGAGAGAAGGGGAATGATATGCAACAAAGTTCCACAGTCAGACGTGAATCCCACATTTATGTTGGAGATGGAACTGATTCCCATGTTAACAACGGTTGTATGATTGCAGAGTT